GCTCTCTGTCCCTGTGGGAGAACCCTGGGGATGGCACCAGTGGGCACAGGGATTCAGCAGCACCAGGGTGCTCCTGGGACAGCTTGGTGCTGGAGGAGGCAGGAAGGGACAGGAACGATGGGATGGTGGTGCTGCTGAAGGATAAGCATGGCACAAACTGGGAAGCACGGTCCTGGTGGGGGGGCTGCTCCTGCTCAGCCCCCCAGAACCCAGCCCTGCACTGCCCTCCTGCCCCTCAAAGCACGGGCAGGAAGGGGCTCCAGGTCTTTACCTGGGACTCAACTGCAGGGAGCCATAGGAACAACAGAGCCAAATCCCTGGCAAAGGGTCAGCCATGAGAGGGGCACCTGTCTGCAGGCCAATGGTTCATGTCCACCCTGAGTGGCGAGGCCACTGGACAGACACTGGGAGAATTGGACCCCCTGGCCTCACTGTGTAGCTGTCCAGTGCCCTGTGGGGGGGCACAGAGACAGGTTTTGGGAGCACAGCTGGTTACATGGGCTCCTGGGGACAGCCCGTGTGCAGGGATGTGCTTGGGCTGACCAGTGGCACCAGCTGCATCCCTGCCAGGGCACTGGAGAGCATCCGATGCTCTGCAGGACCAAGGGGACCAGGAGAGACAGAAGAGCTTGTAGAAGAGTGTAGAGGGAGGAGGCAGCAGCACAGCAGCACTGAGAGTGAGGGAACTGAGCCAATGTGCTGGGTGCTGGCTGTGGGGCAGAGCAGGGCACTGGGTGCCCAGGGTGGCTTTGGGCTTTGGGCAGAGGAGCTGGGATATGCTGGGAGGTGGTGCTGAGTGCAGGATGCTGGTGCTGGGCACAGGATGTTGGTGCTGCTCTGGTACCCTGATGCTGTGTCTGGGAAGATGCTGCTGTACAACACCAACGGTGCTGCTCAGTGCTGGCATCACTCTGGTCATCAGCTGCTGGAGGGACCAGCCCAGGACCCAGGAAAAGGCTGGGGGGCCAAGGGGGCAGTGTTCTGGGCTGCTCCCCAGGCACCACGTGGAGCCTTGGGATGTTTCCTGAGTGCTGGGAAGGTCTTTCAGCATAGGGTGATGTTTGATGGCTTCGTGAGGCCAGGAATGGCCACAGCACTAGGGGCACCAGCATGTGACTCTGCCATCGTCCTGGCCAAGGGCTGTGGGACTTGGCTCCCAGCTCTGGGGCTGGGACTGGGAACGCTGATCGTGACCCTCGGTGCCTGGCCAGTCCTCCCAGAGCCACAGCGATTCCTCTGCCTCCTTTGGCCTCCTCCTTTGGCAAAGGGGATGTTTTTCCTGCCATTCTCAATGCAGCGGAAATTGCCCCAAGCTGATTTGGGACAACGGCGCCTTCAACTCTCTTGGCCTGTCCAAGGAGAGCAGGGCAGGGACGAGCCAGCGTGGGGGGGCCTTGAGAACCCTGGGAAGGTGCTGGTGGGTGTGATGGTCCCTGCTTTTCCTCTGCAAGAGCCATCCAGAATAGAGGAAGAGCCTGAGGGACAATCGTGTTGTTCCCACTCTGGCTGGATGGACAGACAAACATCCAGCAAAGCTTCTCCCTTCTGCAGAGAAGGGAGCTGGGCAAGGACTGTGGGTCAGGGGACATATTGATGCACTGCCATTTCAGGAGTCACAGAAAAGCGGCTCTAACCCTGGGATGCAGCCACAGGCTGTGACCTCCCTACAACCTTGGAGGAGGTCTTGTGGTCTTGTGGTCTTGGGTAGCCAGGGGTTTGCCACAAGCCTGGTAGAGCCAACCTCCTGGTGATGTCCCTGCAGCAGGGCTCACCTGTTCTGCCTCCTCCCTCGCCAGGTATCGTCGCTGGGAGTCACCACCTTCAGCCTCTGCGCCCTGGGCATCGACAGGTTCCATGCAGCCACCAGCCCCCAGGCCAGCACCCGGCCCATCGAGCAGTGCCAGTCCATCATTGCCAAGCTGGCTGTCATCTGGGTGGGCTCCATGACGCTGTCGGTGCCAGAGATCCTGCTCTGGCAGCTGGCGCAGGACACGTCACCCGTGAACGGTGTGGTGACAGAGTACTGCACCATGAAGCCCTCGTCCAACCTGCCTGAGTCAGTCTACTCGCTGGTGCTCACCTACCAGAACGCTCGGATGTGGTGGTACTTCGGCTGCTACTTCTGCCTGCCCATCCTCTTCACCATCAGCTGCCAGCTGGTGACGCGGCGCATCCGCGGCACCGAGAAGAGCGAGTGCCGGGGCACCAAGCACGGCCAGTGCGAGAGTCACCTGAACTGCACCATCATCGCCCTGACCATCATCTACGGGCTCTGCACCACCCCCGAGAACGTCTGCAACATCGTGGTGGCCTACATGTCCCCCGACATGTCCAAGCAGACCTTGGACCTACTCAACCTCATCAACCAGTTCTTCCTGTTCTTCAAGTGCTCGGTGACACCCGTCCTGCTCTTGTGCCTCTGTCGTCCCCTGGGCCAGGCCTTCATGGACTGCTGCTGCTGCTGCTGCGAGGGCTGCGGCCCCGACACCGCCTCCAGCGAGGGCAGCGCCGACAGCAAGCTCAAAACCGAGATGTCCTCCTCCATCTTCTTCGACAAGCCCCGGGAGACACCCCCCCCGCTCCTGGCCCTCGGCACCCCGTGCTAAGTGCCACCGGGGAGCTGTAGAGATCGTTCCACCACCTCCTCCCAAGACCAAACGTTGTTTTGCCGTTAGTGCCCGTGTCTGGATTGTGGAATAAGCAGAAGAGACGGCTCAGGGGGCTGCGCCGTGGGCTCCAAACCCAGCATTGGGCAGGTGGGGCTTGAAACCCTGTGGCTACATCGGTGACCTTCTTGCCTCTGCCCAAAGGCCAGTGAGGACATCAGCACCCTCCCGTCCCGGCTGCCCGGCTGGGCTCTGTGGGGTTGCTGCTCTGGAGATGGAATTGTGCCGGAAAGGTCCCATCTGAAACCACGGAGGGTGGCCACGGTGGCTCGCAGAGGACACAGCAAACACAAACTGCCCTCGTCCTGTCCCCTCCCCTCCTGCCAGCCCCTCCACAGTAGGAGAAGGTCCCAGTGACTGTATCCCATGGATCCAAGCCGTGCCCTGTATGAGCTCAATAAACCAGTAACCTAGAGCACACCTCACCCGCAGCCGCCGGCACCGCCGGGCTGAGCCCCGGCAGCCCCTTGGATGGCTCTTCCCTAAACCTGGGGGGCTCTGGGGTGGGCATGAACAGCTGAGGGGGCATGAGGGCAGGGAAGCAGCTCTGCCAGGGCAGGCAGCAGCTAGGGGAGGTGGGGAAAGGGCCCTTTGCCCCCTCCCTCTGGGATGATGCTGAGCAGTGCCTGTGGGAGGGTTCCCTCTGAAGAATCAGGTGGTCTCTAGGACTTGAACTGGTCCCAGTAAAGTCCTGCTAGCCCAGCACTGGGCTGTGGTGCCCCACAGCCTGCAAGGCAGCTGTATGATGCAGGACCAATGTGCTGCAGCTGCACAGTGCTGCTGCCTGGGGGGGATGTGGGACCACCACCCCCAGCACCCCTTGGGGAGCCTTGGGGTGAGGACATTTTACCCAAACCGTCCCACGCAGGGCTCCTGGCCCTCATCCACCTGCCCATTGCAGGGACAGGATTGTCCAGGGAGATGGGTTTCAGGACATAAGGCTTTCCAGCCCCACATCCACCCCCTGCCCACGGCTCCTCTATGGAGTGGGGGGTGGTGGTTCGGGGAGCAGCCGGGGCTGCGGATCTGCCTGAGGGCAGGCTGGATCCACCGGAGCTGTTAGAGCTCCTTGTCCCAGCTGCTGGCAGCCGCCCCAGCCCCCGAAATGCCGGGGCAAGGGAGACGGTTGCTACGGGCAGTGAAAGCGAGGGGCTCACTGTGGGCTTTGTGCACAACACCCACCGGGCTCCGCTCGGGCTTTGCTTTCACAGCTCCGTTTCCAGGGAAACAAAAGCCCCAGTTTTCTTCCGAGAGCACAAAACTGGGTTTTTCCTTTCATCCTCCTCCCCCCCTTCCCCAGCGCTGGGTCGCACAGTTTGGGAGAAGAGGGGTCTCCCCCTGGCACAGGGATGAAGGGGGGTGCAGAGCCCAGGCCACGCTCCCATATGTCCCCTCGGGGCAAGCGGGGTCCCCACGGGGGTTCGAGGGCAGTGGGGGCAGTGGGGGGGGGGCATCTCTCATGTGCCTGGTCCACGTAGCTCAGTCCTGAGCCCGGGCCAAGGGCGAACAAAGCTGGGCTTGTGCTGCGGCCCCGCGGGGCTGGATGGGTGGGGAGGGGGAGCGCGGGCGGGGCCAGGGGAGGTGCAGGCAGCACCATCACCATGGGCTGCGGCAGCACGTGGCCCCACAGCAGGCACAGCACCCCATGGGCTGGGCTGAACCCCAGGCACCTGCCAGGTACAGGGCACAGCCCCTGAGGGAGGTGAGCACGGGGCCACCCCCTGGGGACATGGAGTGGAGGGACCCCAGAAGCAACAGCTACAGCCCCCAGGGGATATGGGGCAGGAGGCCACCCCCAAAGGACACAGGGAGGGAAGGGGGATGCCAGCAGCAGGAGGGGGCAGGAGCTCCAAACCCAGTCTGACAGCAGGGCCCTGCAGCAGTTCTGGTACCTGACAGGGGCAAAGGAAGGTCCCGCAGCAACAATGGCCATAGATGGAGTCTCTGAGCTCGTCTTGGCACCCAGGCCAAGGAAATGAGGCATCTTAGAAAGAAATTCCAGAGAGGGTAATCAGCCATTGGAATGGGCTGCCCAGGGAAGTGGTGGATTCTCCGTCCCTGGAGGTTTTTAAGATGAGGCTGGATGTGGCACTTAGTGCCATGGTCTAGCAACTGTGGTGGTAGTGGATCAAGGGTTGGACTTGATGATCTCAGAGGTCCTTTCCAACCCGTCTGATTCTATGATTCTATGATCCAGAGGTGGCTCCAGCCCCTCTTGGGTGAGCATGACCACACAGATGGTGCTGCCTGGGGGACAGGGACCCCCATCCTGGGCAGGGCTCCGAGGGAAGGGTGGCAGTGATGGCGAGGAAGTAACGTGACTGCAGCCACACCCCCAACGCAAAATTGTTAATTTATTATTAGGAGGCAAAAAAAATTGTACAGTTACAAGAATCATTCCCCAACAGAGGTCAAATCTGAGACAAAATACCTTTTTAAAAAAAAAGGGAGGAGTGGGGGGTGACAACACTTTACAAGTCATTAAATTAAAAAAAAAACCAAAAAAAAACCAAAAAGAAACCTCTCTTTGTGCAATTTTGCAAAAACAAGAACAGAAGATAAACCCCTGGCCTGACGCCCCAGAGCTGAGTGGGAAGAGGCTGAGAGGGACCCTGCAGCCACCCCAGCCACCCCCACCCTGTGCCTCAGCCCTGCACTGGGACTGACAACTGCCTTCCCCCTGCACACCCACCCTCCAGCAGCCCCTCCCAGCACAGCTGAGTCCTCAAAAACTGGCCCCAAACAACCTGGCCGGGCCCCAACAGAGCCCCAACAAATCATCACATGGCACAGATGGCCACAGCCTTCCTCACCCCCCAAAACCTCCCGTCATCCTCCCGCCACCTGCAGACAAGGACCCAACTGTGGTCCCCACAAGCCCCACTGCCCCCTGCCCCACGGCTCCCATGTCCCCCAGCCAGGGCAGCACAGCAGGAGGTGGCACGGGGAGTAGGGAATGGGGAGCAGGGAATGGGGAGCAGGGAACAGGGAGCAGAGCATGGGGAGCAGAGCACAGAGAGTAGGGAATGGGAACAGAGAATGGGGAGCAGGACACGGGGAACAGGCACAGGGAGCACCTCCCTGGCTCCAGTGAGCAGCGCTGAGGGTGCACAGATGCTCTGAACGTGTCTCCAGGTGTCTCCATGTGTCCCTCCCTCCCCAGTGTCCCCACGGGATGTCCCCAGCCAGAGCAGAGCCAGCAGCCCCAGCCAGGCACAGGCGATGCCATTTGGCACATGGGGAGCCAGGGCAGCCACCCCAAGAGGCTACAGAGGGCTGAGCCAACTGTGGGGCAGCTGCATGGCAGGAGCCAGGCCCCCGTGCCCCCAGGGGCTGCTGGCATTGCTGGGCCCCCTGCACTGGCACCAGTCTCCCAGATCAGCCCACCCCGAGCGTCCAGGCTGGGCAGTGGGCAGGATTTGGAACAGGCACAGGAGCAGGGGACATGTGGGGCAGGGGGACAAGTGGCCCTGGGCCCCAAGGAGGGGTTGGGGCAGTGGCACATCAGCCAGAGGCAATGGGGGGAGGCTGATCACAGCGGCTTGTGACTAATCCCTGTCCCCTGGAGCCCAGGGGCAGCATCACCCCCTCCCTCAAACCCTGCCCATAGGACTGAAGCCTGAGGCAGGGCAAGGTGGGCATCTCCTGACACCCCCAGCGTGGTCTCTGCCTAGAGGTAGCAGCAGGACACACAGGGAAGGGAAGATGGAGCCCCAGGGGACCTGCCTGCAGCTGGCACAGTCCCATCCCCAAGGGCTGCCTTCTGCTACCACCCTCCTCTTCTTCCCAGCGCTGACCCCCGGCCGGCCTCAGGGAGCCCCAGCTTTCCTACTGCTTACAGGGCCCAGTTTAGTAACAGCACTATCCCTTAAATTAAAAAATTAAAATATATATACATATATATATATACTGTATACACAGACAACAACAGAACAGTGCCAAAATGGAGGAAGAGAGGGAGAGAGGGGAAGGGAAGAGAGGAGAGGGGAGGAGAGGAGGAGAGGAGGGCAGTCGGACATTTTCTTTACAATAAAAACAAGGACTCTGCCCCAACATGAGCAGAGTCTGGGGTCCCCTAAAAATACCCATCTAGAGAGAGAGCTGGAGGGACAGAGCAGGAGAGAGGGGCATGGGCTCGTACAATGGCATCTTCCCGATCCGAGCCAAGCCCGCGGGATCTCAGCTTCGCCTGGACTTCGAGTGCTGGATAAGCCACTGTAGGGTGATGTCTGCAGAGGCAAGGGGACACTTACAGCCTCTCCCCCTGGCTGTCACCCCCTCCTGTGCCAGCACCTGGGCACAGGCTGCCCTGCCCCGCTGCGCCCCCAGCCCTGGGCACTCACCAATGTTGTCCTTTTCTTTGCAGGAGATGGAATAGCAACAGATCTCTCGGTCCTGGATCGCGGAGAGGTTCCTGTGGGAGAGGAGCGAGTGCTGGCTGCAGACCCTGGGCTGTGTGGGGCAGCCATGGGGGACACCTCTGGGCAGTCCTTGGGGAGGGCTCTGAAACAGGGCACACTGAAGGAGCAGAGGCTCCCCAGGAGCTGCATGTGTGTCAGGAGAAGGCACCAGCACTCCATGCCTGAGGGGCAGAGGTGGTCTGGGGTGAGGGGGCTCTGTGATGGGGCAGGAGGGACCTGATCCCACAAGAGAGCCTCGCCACAAAATTTCACAGCTACCCCTCAAGCTCTGCAGCCAGACAGGGCAGGGAGGTTTTGGGAGTGGCACAGGGCTGGCAGCACATGTGCCCACGGTCCAGGGGGTGCTCCAAGGGGTGGCTGGAGGGAGGAGATGCTGTGAGTCAGCGCAGCATCCCAGATCCCCTCTGTGGGGATGGGCAGGAGCAGTATCAGAGGCCACATGCTGGCATGGCAAAGGGTGGAGGGACAGGAATGTGGATGGTGTCACACACCGGAGCAGGGTCCAACCTCCCGGCCCCCAGGGCTGTCAGGTGAGCAGTGCCTATGCCATGAGTGGTGCACAGCCATGGGAGGGTGACCAGGGCAGCATGATACCCCTGGGGAGCCTGGTCCCAGTACCCCTGGGGAGCCCAGCTCCACCGCCCAGCACCACGCTGTGCCAGGCCCACATGCCACCGTGTGGCACCCAGGACCCAGCCCTGGCACTGGTGGCTCCAGCTCCTCCTTGTCTCCACAAGGTGTCACCTCAGATGTCCTCAGCCACCCGTCTCTGGCAGCCCACCCCGGACACCACAATGTCACCCCAGGTGGGTGACCGTGCTGGCAGGGACATGGCAGAACAAGGGGGTTCACACTGTGTCACAGCCCCACTGTGGCTGCCTGGGCCACTGTCAGACTCACATCTTCTCGATGAGCTCCTTCTCATCCAAGGCACCGGGCAGGTCCCGCTTGTTTCCCAGGACGAGGACCTACAGGGACAGGGGACACCTGAAGCTCCCGCTTGCCAGACCAGGCAGGAACCTGCTTCTGCCACCCAGAAGCAGAGTCTGCTTGTGATTCAAGACAGCCCTAGCCACTCCACCAGGATGTCCCAGCTGGAGAAACCCCCTTCAGCAGCAATCAGGAGGCAGAGTGCTTCAATTAACTGCCTTAATTAGCCTGTGTACAGCATCTCCTGTGCATTCTCTACTCCCAGCGTGGAGATGGCCCCATAGCAAATCCTCCCTGAAGGGCACCAGCATCTGTTGTGCCATCTAGGACGTTCTCCCAGGAGCCTCTTGCTGTCTTTGAGCAAAAAGTCAAGTGAAATGGCTAAACCTGACATTTCCAGCATGAGCAAGCTGTGGGTGCTGGGCAGAACCCGCTCCGCAGGCAGCCAGAGCCAACCAGCAGCGGCTGCTTGCGCCATCCACTGATCCCTCCTGATTTCAAGGCTGTTCACATCCTCAAAGGCATTCTCAGACCGTGCAAGGAAAATAACCACCCGGCAGGACTGGTTTGTCCCTCCGGAGCGCCCACACGACTGTCACCTGACAGGGGCAGTGCCAAGGCTGCATGTCCAGGGTGAGCCGGGGCTCTGCAGCAACACAGGGTGCAGCACCTCCCCGTTTCAATCCCGAGGCTCGTTCTCCCAGAGGAGAGCCTTCAGAGGGCTACAACTGCAGCCTGGTATGTCAGGAGCTTAATTTAGCTGGCAGCGGACGTTTGGGATGTGTGGCGAGATCCTCAATTAGCTCCTTTCAAAGGAGGCTGGTTTGGGATGCTCTGTGCACATCCCACCCTGGCACGTGCAGCGTGCCTCATGCTGTGCCACGTCCCCACCTCCTGCACATGTCACAGCCCAGGAGCCACTCTCCCAGGAGACGGGACCTTAATGTCACACCATAAATTAGAGGACAGATTGAATACATGGGGGTCTGGTCTGTGCTCCCTGCCCTAAAGCTCCCTCTCTGTTGCTTGGCCTAGCTCTGGCCTAGAAAGCTCCCTCAGGAGTGCAGCAGGGAAGAGACTCCCCCAAGAAGGGGGATCCCCACCCTGAATCTGCTCTGCAAGCCCTGGCAGTCCCCAGCCTCAGGATGATGAGTGGCTGTGGGCTCTGACTGAGGCAGCAGCTCACCGGGATGCCCTGGAGCTGCGGCTTGTCCAGCAGGTTGTGCAGTTCGTTCTTGGAGGCCTCTATCTTCTCCTGGTCAGCAGCATCCACCATGTACCTGCAAGGGAAGGGACATCCCTGAGCACAGGTGCCCAGGTCCCCACGCCTTGGTGCTGTGCCCGAGGTCTGTGCCACCCCCAAATCTCCTCCCATGGCAGCTCACTGCCCCCACTGGAGACTGGGCCATGGAGGTGGTGGATAACAGGATCCTTCTGCCAGGACCCCTCTTCCCAAGGACGGCTGTGGGGCTGAGAGCCCCTCATGTCTCCCAGGGGAGTGGAGGACTACCCTGTCCCCATCCCTGCAGGTGTCCACCTGCTGACAGCAGGGACAGTCTGGGCAAGGGAAGCCTGGGCAGGAGAAGCTGCAGGACACGTGTTGTCCCCAAGCACCCAATGAAGCTCATGTGCACATGGCAGCTCCCATGGAGACACCCAGGGTAGAGGACAAGTGGAGAAGGCAAAAGGAGCTCATGATGGAGAGGAGACGTCGACCCAAGAGGGGGAAGGACCTTCTCATCCCATCAGTGGGGTAATCTTGGGAGGGGCCACGGAGAAAATGGATGTGAAGCTAGCAGTCAGCAATGCTGCTCTGAGCAGACAGGGAGATTTAGGGAAGGATTTCACTCTTATGGGCTGACACTCATCCTGCAAAGGATATTAGAGAAAATTTGTTCCCTGAAAGGGTGGTTAGGCACTGGAACAGGCTGCCCAGGGCAGTGGTGGATTCACCACCCCTGGAAGGGTTCAAAAACCATCTGGGGACATGGTTTAGTGGTGACCATGGCTGTGTTGGGTTAACGGTGGGACCTGATGATCTTAGAGGCCTTTTCCAACCTTAATGATTCCACGATAATTCAGTGGTTCTAACTCCTGACACAGGTGTCCAGTTCCACCAGCAAAGGCATCGCAGCTCCCCTCGCAGCCAGCCCAGTATCCTGGGGTGGGGCTGTGCCCCCACCCACTGGTGAGGCTCAGCATCAGTGTGTGGGTGACAGTGGAGCTCTGGCTCCCCGGGATACTCACACGATGGCACTCACTCCACGGCAGTATCGCTCCCACATGCTGCGGAACCGCGGCTGCCCACCAATGTCCCAGAGCTGTGACAGGGAGAGTGGGGTTACTGCGGTGTCCTGTCCATCACCCCAGTGCCCCAAGTACCCCAGTCCTGCCCAAGACCATGTGGCCACTCAGGGCATTTTGTCCATTCACCAAACTCACCCCCATCCTGTCCTCTTCAGCTCAAACCTGAGGAGGAGGCTCCCAGCTCAGTAAGGCAAGGAGATGCCTCAGGAAGGGCAGCTGTAGGATGCTGAATCCCCCTGTGGTTACGCTTCTGCTGGCATAGAGGGACCCCCTGGCCCAAGCTGGGTGCTCCTCCCCATGTCCACCACACTTACTGGTCTATCCCTGAGGCATTTCCCATTTCAGAACACTCAGCACACTCTCAAAAGTGTTCCTGCAGCAGCCAGAGATCCCCAGCCATCTTTTCAAGTGTGTCCCACAGCTATTTCCTGGTTTAACTCAGGGCCCTTGAAAGGTCCAGAAGGGGTAGAACCTTCCTCTCCCCTTGCTTCCGAGGCAGAGACCACCACTTGAGGCCATGACCTGTTTATTCCAGCACTCCCACCCTCAGCAAGGTGACCACATCCATGAGTCCCCACCAGCAAGCCAGAAGTATAAGGAAACCTCCAGCATTGCAGCCTGGAGTGGCTCTTACTGCACAAGTCTGGATCTCCCACATCTCACCACCTCTTCTGGTGGTTACCTGCAGGACCCTAAGAGGGCAGATGGTGGAATCACAGTCCCTGGAAGCATTCAAAAAACATGTGGATGTGGCACTTGGGGACATGGTTCAGTGGTGAACATGACTACCACGTCATGGGGGAACAGCTGGACTCGATAACCTTAGAAGGATTTTCCAACCTTAACGATCCTAGGATTCCATTCTATGATTCCCAGCTGCAGTTGCAGTCCCTGGAATCCTTCCTGCAGAAGAGCCACCAATCTCCCTTCCCTCCACCTTTTGTCCCAAGAGCCTTAACCAGCAGTAACACCTGCATCTTACCTTTATGGTAACATTCCCCTTGGTGATCTTCCTCATGTTGAAGCCAACCGTCGGGATCATGTCTTCGTTGAACTGTCCTGACTGGGAGGAACAAGGTGAAACAGCATTAGGGGGCAGAGGAACATGGCCAGCCAGCCCACCCCAGCCAGGCAGCAAGGCTGGCAGCCTGCCTGGGATGACCCCAAAGGCTCTGCCAGCCCTGCCCCGGGCACAGCACAACCCTCCTCCAGGTCCATGCCAGGAGCACAGAGCCCAGAGAGAGGACGCTGCCAGATGGCAATGGTGTGTATCCTAGTTCCAGCCCAGATCAGCGGGATGGGGAATGGCCAAGACATCTTGTTTTCTGATACCACCTAAGATCATTGCCGTGGGCAAGGAAAATGCTTCCAAGAAGGGCATTTCTTTCCTGTCCCTTTCCTGTAGGGAGAAAGCGTGGTGGGGGAGGGAAGTCATCCACCATTGTTTCACTGTCCCGGGCTTGGTGAGCATTTTGCATGTTAATCACCCTCTCTTGGAACACTTTTGTTATTAGTATTGTTGCTGTTACTGGTCGTTTTCTTATCTCATTGCTGTTACCAGTAAATTGTTCTTATCTCAACCCCTGATCTTTGCCTCTTGTGCTTCCAGTTGGAGGGGGAGGGGGAAGCAAGTGGTGGGAGCACTAAACTGGGGGAACACCATTCCTAAACCAGGACAGTTCAGCCGCTGCACAGAGCACAGGTGCCCTGGGTGCCCTGGGTGCTGGTGCAGCCCCCAGCCCAGCAGCGAGCTCCCAACCTCAGCCTCAGACACACTGGTGTCCCAGTGGTCAGGATCAGGAGACAGGAGCTGCCACGGCCCTTCACCTGCTGCCTCCAGCAGCCTCCTTGGGACTCAAATCAGGTTTATTGCCTGTAAAAGCATCCTGGAGGCCACGTTGCAGAATGCTGGGGAGTCAACAGGGAGGAGGGTTTGATAACCAGGTTAACACAGACCTGGGGATTTTGACCATGAGTGCCAGAAACCTGCAGGAACCACCAACCATGGCCAAACTCACCCTAGCAGCTCTTAAAACCTCAGTTTCTTGAGGGCTTTTCTGGCTTCTCTCTTAGTTAACACGAACCTCAAAACGGGAAGGCAATTTATGCTATTTTCTGATAAGCAGATTTTTGAGCCAACGGCTCCTCCAGACCCACATCACCAGGTCCCCAGGGTTTTCCTGACCTCTTCCAATGTCTCTGCAAAACACACCACTTCCCTTTTTCATTTCCCTTTTGCATCCAACAGCAAAACCCAGCAGGCAAGGGGTGTCCAGGCCACACTGCACCCAGAAACCACTGTGGGGAATGGCAGGGAAGGGTGCAGGGAGAGGAGGGGAAGCAGGCAGGGATCTGCAGGGGATGTCTCCTGTGGACTGAGGTTCAATACACAACTTGGCTTTATGAAATTAAGAAATTCACAGGCTTTTATCAGCAGACACGGAGAGCAATTGCTGAAGAGCTCTAGGAAGCTGCAGACACCTCTCTCAGGGATCCCAGATCACATCACGGCATCTGCTGTCTGTGCAAAAGCCATCCAAGACATAGTTCAGACAGACAGAAGCTTATTCCAGAAGGGATGGGCTGCAGGAGCCAGGAGACACCCCTTCTTTCCTCCATGGGGAAAGTGAGGCACAGCCTTGTTCCCTGCCCCAAATCCTTTCCCCCCTGCAGTGCTGGTCTCCAGGGGTCAAAGGGCCAACAAAAAACCACTTGAGCTGTCCAAAACAGGCTGGCACCATGACACATTGTGGGCCAGGATGGCCTGCCTGTGGTCCCTGCTGTCCCAGCACCCACAAAAGCATCTTCAACGTGCTGCAACATGCTCAGCTCCTCCTGCATCAGCTGCTCTCTGAAAGCAACTCTCAGTGGTGGAAACACAGTGTCCCCTCTTTCCTCTCCAACTATCCCTGAGGGTGGCACCTTCGGCACATCTTCAGCTCCCTGCAGGGTCCAGCCATCCACAGCTCCACTGCCAGGAAAGCAGAGACCACCCAGCTGGAGATGTGCAAAAGCTTCACCGGACACATCCTTGACCCCCAAATTTTGGTTATGCAGCAGACACAGCACCCATGCTGACCCTGGAGATGATACCAAGCCACACCAATCACTTGGGAATGCAATTCCACTGGGTTGCACAAAAATCCTTGCAGGCAAGATGGATTTTGTGGACACAACTGGCAGATCAGGTCTTTACAGGCTCCAGCTCATTGCTGATTTTGCCAGGGTTCCCCAGCACTCTGCCCAAACCACTCTGCCTCGCTGCCCTGCCTGGAAGGCAAGTGACCCAACACGTCCCAGTTGAGTTACTTTGCAGGGGCAAGCAGTCCCCCCAGCTCATGATGAGCCCCATCCCCTGCCACAAGCACAGGGACACCACATCACTTGCCACTTCAGCCATCATCCCTTGCTCAGCCAGCAGCCAGGACCTCGGCTCGCTGGCACATGCAAAGAGGCCACCTCAGCCTCCAGACTGCAGCCACCAGCTCTGGTGAGCAGCGTGCAGGGTGGCCAGGTCCTGCTCTTCAACGTGGTCTCCACGGGGCAGAGGCAGCAGCCCAAAGCACTTCAGGTTGGGTGTCTCCCACCAGTGCCCGGACCATTCCCAAAACTGCCCAGCCTGGCACTCCTGCAGGATCTCCTGCCATGGAGCACTTGAGACCCTGACAAACCCTGTCCAAGCTCCAACACAGGGGGAAATGTGGGTGGGCAGTTTCTCACCTGTAACCTCCACATCCATCCTCTTCAACTGGCCCTGTGCCAGCGCAGGGTGGGAGTGCCTGGCAGCCTGAGCTTTGCTTGGTCTTCCATTGCTCTTCCAGCTCTTCTCCAAGAGCTAAACCAGCCCAGCTCTGCTGCACAGGCTCCATCCCTCAGCACATCTCCATCAGCCTCGCCGACAGACACCTGGCACTGAGCACCCCATTCAGACAGGAAAAAAGCCAAATTCAAGCCAAGCCTTTACCCTTCGACAGTGGGCTTACAGCTCTCTGGGGCTCTGAGTACCACAGGGCACCTTTGGCACAGAGATCCATGCCCCTGCAGAAGGCACTGCAGGGGACAGGACTGAGAACTGGGAAGAGGGGCTGCCACCTGGAGCCAGGCAGGATGGAGCTACCCCAGGGGTTGGTAGCAAGAAGGAAGCGCCACATGGGTCCAAGAGACAATCCCAACTCTTGCCCCAAATCCTCAGCAGGCTCTGATTTCAGAAACTTCACGCAGAAGGATCCTATTGAAGGGGCCTGTGTAGGGCAGCTCCCACTACTGCAGGCAGCAGCCCCAGCTGGGCAAGCAGGGTGCTGTGGGACAGGGATGGGCCCCTCCATCCCAGAGCAGATGGTCTCACCACCACCACTACCTTCATTACCACACATGGTCTGGCCCCACAGCACCCCTCAGCTTGGAGATCCAGCATCCCAGGCCATGAGCATGGTGGGAAACCCACAGGCCTCTCCTGGCCCTGCTCCCTGCAGTGCTACTGCACCTGAAACAGGCTGTGCTGCCCTCCCTGACGCCACGGGCCCCATCTCCAGGGCACTGGGTATCTCAAGAGCAAAAATGGGATCCGGGGACAGCAACCAGGCCATGCATGTGCTGACCCTAGAGCCCAAGTGACACTTACAGCCCTGCCTGCTGTAAGCCCACCCGAGCCAGGCAGGACGATCCATCCCACTCCCTGCAATGCAGCTAACGCACATATTTATTTTTTTTTAAGAGCACAGTATCACTGAAGATCAGGGTTTTTTTCATAAAAATTAGGTTCCTCAGATGAAAGGGAAAATCCTTGGGCTGCTTTTGCTTCTTCAGCACTGCATCAGAGCCCAAAGTATGCTGGACAGCAGCGCTGAGGCTGCGCTGACCCAACTCTCTGTGAGATGCTCCCAGCAGCTCCCCAAGGACAGATAGCACAGTCTCAACTCTAAGGAGAAGCCAGCAGCTCTGTGTAAGATTTGCAGCAATGTCTGGTCCCACCTCTGTCCACAGAGACCCCACAAATGCCTATAAATCTATCAGTTGCTGCCCTCGTTCAGATGTGTCTGCAGTGGGGCAGCATCTGGACAGAGGTGGTGGCCACACGAAGCACTGGTGACTCAGTTTGCTGCTGGCCTAGATTTTGGGGTGCTGGACATGTGCAGCCCCCACTGGCATCAGCACTACTTGATGGCAGCACAGAGTCTGTTACAGAAACTCTGGAGAACTGGCTGGATGGTCACAGTGTTGTGGTCCACAGCTCAATGTCCAGGTGGAGGCCAGTGATGAGGGGTGTTCCTCAGGGGTCGGTGTTGGGACCAGCACTGTTTTAGAACAGAATCACAGAATGCTTTGGGTTGGAAGGGACCTTAAAGACCATCCCATTCCTCCCCCTGCCATGGGCAGGGACACCTTCCACTAGACCCAGTTGCTCCAAGCCCCGTCCAACCTGGCCTTGGACACTTCCAGGGATGGGGCAGCCACAGCTTCTCTGGGCAGCAGAGATGTCACCATCAGAGACCATCCCATGACAGAATGTTGTATCCCTGTCAGTGGCATGGACAGTGGGATCAAGGTGCTGAGGACACTGAGCTATGTGGTGCAGTGCTGGAGGGAAGGGGTGGCATCCTGGACCTGCACAGGCTTCAGAGGTGGGTCTGTGCAAACCTCGTGGAGTTCAAAAAGCCCAAGTGGAAGATCCAGCACCTGTGGCAGGGCAATCCCAAGCATAAATCCAGTCTGGGCGGAGAAAGGCTGGAGAGCAGCCCTGAAGAGAAGGACTTTGGGGTGTTGGCGGATGAAAAGCTTAACATGCCCCAACCATGTGTGCTGATGTCCAGAAACCCCCGTGAGCTGGGCTCATCCCACAGCGGGGGCAGCAGGGGAGGGTGGGATTCTGCCCCGCTCAGGTGAGACCCCACCTGCAGAGCTGCCTCCAGCTCTGAGGTCCGAGCATCAGAAGGATGTGGAGCTGCTGGAGCAAGTCCATAGGAAGCCACAGAGATGCTCTGAGGGCTGGAGCCCCTCTGCTCTGGAGAGCTGGGGCTGTTCAGCCCAGAGAAGAAGAGGCTCTGGGGAGACCTTAGAGCCCCTTCCAGTACCTAAAAGTGGCTTCTAAGAAAGATGGGGACAGACTTTTTAGTAGGGTCTATAGTGACAGGACAAGGGGTATTGGTTTTAAACTAAAAGAGGGGAGATTCAGACTAGATATAAGGAGGAAATTTTTTATAATGTGAGTGATGAGGTCCTGGCACAGGTTGCCCAGAGAAGCTGTGTCTGCCCCATCCCTGGAAATGTTCCAGACCAGGCTGGACAGGGCTTGGAGCAACCTGGTGTAGTGGAATATGTCCTGTATGCCCCTGCCCATGGCAGGGGTGTTGGACAAGGTGACCTTTAAAGGTCCCTTCCAACCAAAACCACTCTATGATCTTGGAAAACCACCACTTGTCCATTTTTCCTGGCTTATGCTGACAGAGGTTGCAGTAGCAAGACAAGACCATGCTCCATCCAGATTCTTCTCCTCTTCCGGAAACACAGGAGAAACCCCCCAAAAAACCTACCACCTTCTGAATTATGAAGCTAAGGTGCAAAGATGCACCTGTGGAGGGCCCAGGTGCTGCATCTGGAGGCAGAAAGGACCCCAAGGCAGCATGAGGACCCACGTCCACCTCCCACACAGCCTGGCTCTGCCAGACCCCAGGCCAGGGGCGTGTCTGGAGTTACTGGGAGAGGCAGGGTCAGACAGACTGGCACAAAGGCATCAGAACAACATCTCCCTGATTCTCCCTCAGCACCTTCACCAGCATTTCTACCTCTCCAGCAAACCCTGGAGACCTCACAGATCTGGAGTTGCACCTCCCCTCCCAAGCTGAGGCACCCAAACACATCCTGCTGAGGGGGCTCAGCTGGCCAGTGAAGGGGTCAGTGGCTCTCCAGGGATGGGTGGGAGCAGGCACTGAGCTCTGCAGTCCTCCAAGACACTCTCAGGACATGCCTCCACCAGCAGTGCTGTCGGGAGAGCCATGGCATCCATCATCCTACCTGATGCCACACACGACGCTGATGTGGTTTCAAAGAATGGCTGAGGTTGGAAGGAACCACAGTGGTCATCTGGTTCAGCCTCCCTGCTCAAGCAGGATCATCCCAGAGCACGTGGCAAAGGATTGCATCCAGACTCCACACTCGCTCTGGGCAGCCTTTTCAGTGCTCGGTCACCCAGGCAGTAAAGAAGTTCTTCCTCACGTTCAGGTAGAACTTCCTGTGCATCAGTTCCTGCTTGTTGCCTCTTGTCCTATTGCTCAGCACCATCGAGCAGAGCCTGGTCCATCCTCTGACAGCTCCCTGCAGATACTGACAGAGTGGATAAAGTCCCCTCTGAGATGTCTCTTCTTGAGGCTGACCAGGCCCAGCTCCTCAGCCTGTCCTTCTAAGAGAGATGCTCCAGTCCCCTCAGCATCTTCGCAGCCTCCGCTGAACTCACTCTAGGAGCTCCATGTTTCCTCTTGCAGCACTGATCTGAATCACTTCCTGAGCAGGGCTAAAGCACAGGATGGTGCCCCAGACCCCCCACCACCCAGGTCTGACACCCCAGCACCTGTGGCTCAGCTCCCCTGGAAGGCTCTAGCACAGGTAGAACCTGTGTGGTGTTAAAAAGCAGCAACACACTCTTTTGTTCTAACCATGGCCTGCACTAACAGGTTTTGGGCCCCAGCACCTCCTGAGGAGCTCTCAACACCCCCGAGTCACCCTTGTCACCGCCAGACTGGGGAAAAGGCAGCTAAAAGCCCTCTGGCTTCAGGTTAAAAGAAGACCGGGCGTGTTTACAGCTTTCACCCCTCCTTGCAGGCAAAACTTCAAGTCTCAGCTCCCAAGAGCCAGGAAAAGAAAAAATAAGCCCTGGAAAATGAAGGTCCCCGGGCAGGTGACACAGGAGGAGTCAGCCCCTGGATCATCACTGCCTTCAGCAAAACCCTCGCCTGGCACAACCACAGCTCTGACTGCTGGAGGGAACCACCCACCTTCCAGGCAACCAGAGTCCATTTTTCAGTCAGGTGCAGCTAAAAATCCTGGAACACAAGGACAGCGCCAACCCCCCCAGAGCAGCTCCAGCCCCAGCATCGCTCTGAGGGAAGGGGAGCACCTCTCGCACCCACAGAGATGTCTTGTGAGATCTCTCCAACAACGCCAAAATCCCACACTTCTCAGTTCAGTCCTTTCCCCTCCCCAAAGCCCAAAATTACAGCCCAAAGCACAAATCACAGCTATTTCCCCTTCCAGCACCCCCATTGCAACACCCTAAAGCCAGGCACCTCCAACCCTTCTCAGGCAGTTCCTGTCAAGTCAGCATTTTCTGTGTCACGCTGCTACTTCACTGTCCCCAATACCTTCTTTCCAGGATGTTTTCTCAAGGGCTGGTGCCCCTTTTTGTGTGAGTGTGCCACAAAACATGAACTTTCCAAATTAACTGAGCTCAGCCACTAAGCCTGACTGCCCTGCAAGGGTGTCAAACACCCCACCACAGACCTGTTACACGGGCAGGCCATGGTGCCAGCTCCAACTGCTCGAGAGCCCCTGTAATTCCTCGAAGTCCCTTAGCCAGCAATCCTGGCTAAGCAGTGAGAGTCCTGGTGTACAGGTCTTCCAGGTGGGGTTTTGCCCACAGTAAAACTGCCTGTAACAAGGTATTTACCCCACAAAGCCCACGCTGAGCCCTGTCTGTGGATCCGGCTGGGTGAGGAGGAGGCACGTGGGGAACAGGGAGCTGGGCAAGATGAGGACCAAAGCAGCAGGAGCCTGGAGCACCAAGCGGTGACTTCCAGCAGAACAGCTCGAGAGCTGGAGTGCCATGGTCTCCAGGGTGAAAAAGCACTTTGGGGTGTCCTTCCTCTGCCCCCAGACATTTCAGGAAGGACATTTTTGTCCCTCAGCACCTGGCACCAACGGAAACCTCCCGAAGAGCACAGCCCCAGTGCAAAGAAGCCTCCAAACAGGCTGAAAATCCCCTCTGACAGCCCAGCACCTTCCAGCACCCTGAGTGAGCAGCAATAATTCCCTGTGCTTTCGAGCCATGGCACCCTACAAGCAAAGTGCAGGGACAAGGAGGGCAGTAGGGCAGCCAGGGCAGCTGGAAGATCCACATCCTCCTCCCTCCATGAAACCCTGCGGGAACCACATCCCAAACCTGACCCTTCAGGATCCGCCCACCTCGCAGCATCACATCTGGAGAGGGCGAGAGCAACCCAAAAAAGCAAGAGGGGAAACTCCACCAAGCATCCCCATGGGTGAAACCACACCCTGGGCTCTGGGATCCCGCTCCCGATCTGCTGCCGGATCCAGGGACCCCGTGGACGAGGCAGCACAGCTGGGGAGAGGCCGGGGTCGGAGGGGCCCGAGGCGGGTGTCAGGGGTGTGGAGCGTGTGCTGCTGCAGCAGCACCCGGCACCCACGGGACAGTGCTGCCGGTGGGCGCTGCCCGAGGAAGGTCGCCAGGCAAACACCTCCTACACCGGCCCCTGGGCAATGAAACCCGGTGGCACAGAGCCCGGCAGGGTCATCACGAGGCCCCCCACCTGCGCGTCCCGGCAGCGGCAGGGACGATGACAAAGCTCCTGCTGCAACCCCTACGAGGGCCGGAGCTTCCCGGCTCCCAGGGCCGAGGCTCCCGCAATCCTGGGCGGCGGCAGCACCCACCCAGGGCACCAGAACCGGCTGCTGCCCACCGGCAGAGCCCCGGCCGGGAAGGGCAGGGGTGTTCCGTGATTCCTCCCCAGGGCCTGCTCTGGCTGCGGCTCCAAGCGCCGCGCTTGGCTCCGGGGATGTGGGGAGCAAACGCTGGGGTTTGCCTGGACCCCTCCCGATGCTGCTGGATCTGCAGCCTGCACCCCACACCGCACCCCAGAGTGTGCCCCACTGCCTGCAATTCGCACCCCACCCCACCCTGCACCCCACTGCACAGATGCATCTCCAGGCTGGGGTGTGATAGGGCGGAGCCATTCTGGGGAGCACCCAAGGGGTGTAATTGGGGGGCTGCAATGGGGGGCTGCAATAGGGGGGTCCAATGGGGGGGCGGTGGGGGGATGCAATGGGTGCGGTGGAATAGGGGGGTGCAATGGAGGATGCAATGGAAGGGTGCAATGGGTGAGGTGCAATGGGTGAGGTGCAATGGGGGGCTGTAATGGGGGGTGCAATGGGGGCTGCAAGGCGCAGGGGTGCTGCCCTGGGGTGGCCCCGCTGCTCCCCGGGGATGGGGGGGATGCGGGTGTTCCCCGGGGGGCTCACCGCGATGACGTTGACGAAGGTGGTCTTGCCCGAGTACTGCAGCCCCACCAGGGTCAGCTCCATCTCCTCCTTCCAGAACAGCGCCCGGAACCAGTCCAGCAGCTTGTTGAAGAGCGCCAGCATGGTGCCAGGCCGGGCCGCGCCGCGCCGAGCGGGGCCGAGCGGAGCCGAGCGGAGCCGAGCCGGGCCCAGCTGGGCCGAGCCGAGCCGAACCGAACGGGACCGAGCCGGGCCGAGCGGCGCCGAGCGGAGCCGAGCTGGGCCGCGCCGAGACGAGCCGGGCCGAGAGGGGCCGATCCGAGCGGGGCCGAGCGAGGCCGAGTCGGGGCGGGGCCAGTCGGGGCGGAGCCGGGCAGGGCCGAGTCGATCCGAGCGGGGCCGGGCGGAGCCGAGTCGATCCGAGCGGGGCCGAGCAGAGCCGAGAGCGTCCGGAGCGCCCCGGTCGGTGCCGATGGAGGCCGAGCCGCCGCCGCCGCCGCCGCCCCCGGTATTGTCCGAGCGCAGCCCCCCCCGAGCCCTCCCGAGGCACCGGGTGGGGCCCGAGCGCCGCCGCTGCCGCGCCCTCTCCCGGAGCGGAGGACCCGCCGCACCGGGCACGGGACATCCCGCCCTGCAGGACACCCCGGGATACACCGGGATACCCGGGACACGCTGCACACCCTGGATACCCCGGGATACCCTGGGACACCCCGGGACACCCCGGGACACCCGGGATTCCCGGGACACGTCAGGACACCCTGGGGCACCCCGGACCCCCCGGGATGCCGCGGGACACCCCCGGACAGCCCGGAGTACCCTGAGACACCCGTGACACCCCGGGCATCCCGGGCGCGATGTGCAGAGGGTGCTGGGGGCACAGGGGTGCTGAGTGGGGGTGTTGAAGGTGAGGGGTGTGCGGGGTGCACGGGGTGCAGAGGTGCTGGAGCTCCGCGGTGCCGGGGGCAGGGATGGTTCAGGCTGGGGGGGTACTGGGGGTGCAGGGGGTGCGGGCAGTACTTGGTGGGCGAGATGCAGGGCACAGGGGTGAAGGAGTTCGGGGTGCAGTGGTGCTGGGGTTGCAAAAGTCCTGGGGTACCGAGGGTGCAGGGATGCAGGGTGTGATCAGTGTAGGAGAACTGGGAGTGCAGGGGACCTGGGGGTGCTGGGGTGTGGGGTGTACAGGGGTGGATAGAAATGCTGGGTGTCAGAAGCAGGGTGGGGAGTGTGGGGTGCAGTGGGTGCCAGGAGCCCCGAGCAATGTCCCGGGAGCTGATGAGCAAATTTCCACCTGGAGAACGAGACACAGCCCAAAGGCACAGATGGCGTCCTCGAAGGATGTTCCTGTGAGACCTTTATCCAGCCTGTAGCCATCAGGTTGGGCCCTGCAGCCTTAAAACCCCCTTGTTTTTCCCCCTGCTCAGCTCTGCTGGGTTGGGGGGCACACGGAGTGCTGCAGGTGCCTGTTCTGGCTGTGCCTTCGCTCCCCTGTGCCCTCCCACGCCGTGCTGAGCGCTCAGGGCAGGTGCTGCCTGGCTGTGCCGTGCCAACAGGGCTCGGCTCCATCCAGGTGAGATTTGAGCCAGTCCTAAAGTGAGGACTGACACACAGGGCCATTTGCAATTCCCTTACGCTGGATGCTTTATTCCAGCAGTGGCTGGGGAGAGCCCATGTGTGGAGGTTGCTTGTGCTCCCACAAGAGACAAGGATACTGAATCCGCTGCTAAAGCTGCCTGAGACAAACATGTATGCACAGAAAATAGGGAAACTGAGATGGGGTTGGATTCAACTCATAGGGAGTATCTCAACCCCTGACAAGTAATGGTGGGAGGGAGTTTCCACCATGTGCTGCAAGTCACTGGGAAGCTGCCTTTGTTTTTGGAGACAGAAACCATTTTGCTTTCGGAGCTGCTGCAGCGTGCTCAGGATCCCCATGCTCTCAAGGGGAGGCCTGAGGAAGCAGGAATATCATTGCTTTCTGTAATTACCCCATCACAGCTCCTCCTCATACCAGTGAAAAATTCTTTGTCCTCCAGTTCTTGCATGTAATTTCTGATTGAGGATATTTTTTTTCACAGAATCACAGAATCGTTCAAGTTGGAAAAGACCTTTAAGATCATCGAGTCCAACTGTTACCCCAGCATTGCTGTGGTCACCAATAAACCATGTCCCCAAGTCACCATCCTCCAGGGATGGTGACTCCACCACTGCCCTGGGCAGCCTGGGCCACTGCCTGACTGCCCTTTCAGGGAAGAAATTTTCCCAATATCCAACCTGAACCTCCCCTGCTGCAACTTGAGGCCACTTCCTCTTGTCCTGTCCCTTGTTCCCTGGGAGCAGAGCCTGACCCCCACCTGCCTCCACCCTCCTGTCAGGGAGTTGCAGAGAGTGAGAAGGTCTCTTCCATTCCCTTCTCTGGACACACTCCAGCACCACAATGTCTTTCCTGTCATGAGGGGCCCAAAACTGCACACAGGATTTGAGGTGGGGCCTCATGAACACAGGGGGAAAACAGATTTTTGTTTAACATTCCAGCCCAGGGAATGTCCCTACACCAGTTTGGGGCTTCCCCCCCAGCATTCCTGTAACACTGGAGTTGTTAGCAGAGATTGCCCACGGATAGCAGGGGTGTTCCTGCAGTCCCTGCTACAGAAACTGCCCATCCAGTGCTCAAACTAACCCACCCCTCACAGCAGAAACAACAGCTGGGCCAGACTATCCCCACGCCAGGAGAGACAGAAGAAAACGAGCAACGTTGACCCTCTTCATGCACTATTCCTGCTCCACCCACCCTATTTACCTTATCCCCAGCAAGGAGAGGGTCTCACAGCAGCCCTGACAGGTTTTGGGGACATCTGTCTGTTTCCCACTGGTTTGAACCAGGGTCCCAAGCTCTGCTCCCTGCAGGGGAGCTGTGGTGGCCCACGTGGAGATGCACACACCAGATCCACTCCCCAAGGCTGCACCCCTGCAGCTCTGTCCCCCATTGTCACCCCATGGTCTCCATGCTGGGAGTTTGGGACTGGGCAGTCTTATGCAAGGCTCCAGGGCCTCTCCAGACAAGAGCATATTTGACATTCCCAGGAGGTTTTGATGTGGTTGCCCAATCAAGTTCCTTAAGGAAACTGAATGGTCAGGGCTGTGGGTGATGAGTGGCTTATCCTCCTGTTCTCTGATTCAGAGTTTAACCCCTGGGTTACTGAGGACCAGCACAAACAGATGTCACTCCTATCTCCCACAGTGTCCCTGGTGCTCCCACCCATCCCTCTGCTGCTGGGTGGGCCTCATCCTCTGTGGGGTTCCACCTTCTGCAGGTGCTCTCACAGGGCCTCCCTGACCTCCTGGGACCCCAGTGCTGCCCTGGAAATGTCAAAGTGTGCCCTGCAATGTCTCCTTTCTAGGTGATGGCTTGGTTAGTGATTACTTGGAGTCCACAGATGCTGTTGGAGACTCACCTCTCCAGGGAAGGCAATTGGGAATCACTTGCAAACTGTAGACGCATTTGGGAATCTCCCCTGCTTGGGAGAGGGGAGGTTTGGATATTAGGGAAAATATGAAGGATATTAGGGATAATTTCTTCCCTGGAAGGGTGGTCAGGCACTGGCACGGGTTGCCCAGGGTGGTGGTGGAGTCACCATCCCTGGAAGTGTTCAAGAAATGACTGAACATGGCACTTCATGATACAGTTTAGTGGGCACAATGGGATTCAGTAAAAGGTTGGATTTGATGATCTTGGAGGTCTTTTCCAACCTTAATGATTCCATGATTCTACTTTAGGGCAGTTGAGAAGGTGTTGGCTGAAGGTGGAGAGAAAAACAAGCCATGGAACCCATGGAACAACAGTAGCTGACTGTGCAGCTGTTGTACTAACCCATCAAGGTGTGTCTTTAGCAAGAAGAGCCTCATGGTGTGTGTTTGGAGCAAGCTTAGCCCTGTTCACAGATGATGCACAGCCAGGACAGAGGCTCCATTTATTTCAGGGTAATTCTACCAGCGCTGCATCCAACAGAGTGAACAACTCTGTGCAGGTAAAAGGCAAACTGCGCTCCCGGCGCTCCCCAGGCATGCAGTTCCTCTGCACAGCTCGCTCTTCTGGTTCAGGATCTTGCACCTCTCAAAAGCCAAAGCTTCTTTCCATGGGTGAAATCTGCCTCGAGGCAGCAGCAACAGCCACCTCGAGCACCCAGTGCACCCCTCATGTGAACCCACCACACCTTGCTCGGCCCCAGGGTCCAAGGCCACAGTCCCCGCGGGTTTCCTCAGCTGTGCTCATCCCGAGGGATGTTTGTGCTGCTTTTCTGTGGCCTGGCAGCATCAGGAGAGGTTTTGGTGGAGGTGTCCCCGAGGCTGGTGCAGGAGAGGTTGGAGTGGGGAGCTAGAAGCCTGGTGGGAGCCCTGTGCTAGTGGCCTCCAGCCTCTGGCAGCTGGGAAGCGTAGAGAGCTAGTGTGTGATGGAGGAACTGGTACTGCTCACTCGTCTGGATCATCCCACCTCTGCAAGGGAAAGGCAGGGCCCACTGACACTTAACCAAACCAGAATCCCATTCCCAGCTCTCTGCTACTGGGGCACAATATTCCTGCATCACCAACCATGTTTAGATGCCTCTGAAACAGGCACCAGAGCTGCCCAAAGAGTATGGGGGCTCAGAAGCATTGCTGAGCTGTTCAAAATGAGATTAGAAACTGATTTGGCTCTAATATTTACCAGTACTTCTTGAAAAGTGGCCAGACGGAGTGTTTCTGGATTTAATGGCTGAGCTGGAAGGGAAGGAGCAGATGGCTGCCAGATTCAGAGCCCCTCTCCTGTCCCTCACATCCTCAGGTCAGATCTCAGCAGAACCAGCCTGGCACTGGGAATTGTTTGCTTTCCACACATCTGCATCCTCCAGCAACCCTTCTTGTTTCCACCAAAAATAGTCCCCGTGCCCCTTTGGGATGCCCATCCCCACGCCCCTCCCACATCCCTCCTCCCAGGCTTGGCACCCAGCAGGACCCTCCTGCTCTGAGCACCCACCTGTCTATGCGGAGATGGCACACGATTCCCAGGATATCCACCTCCCCCTTGTCCTTCAGCTGCTGGCAGCCCATCCTGGTGGCGATGAAGCAGCCTGTGCGGCCGATGCCTGCGCTGCAGGACAGACAGAGCTGTGCTGAGCACCGACAGCATCCACTGCATGGGCCTGAATCTGCCTGAGCTGGATGCACTCCTGGATTGGTTTGCTGCCGTGATTTCTTCCTAGAGGGATGCTGGGGCCCCAGTCCCAGCTGCCAGACCAACCTCCTTAGCCAGGCACCAAAAGGCGTGGGCTGGGGTCACTCTGCCATGGCAAGGGGGTCTTGCTGTGTTGCACAGCATGGCTGAGGCTGCTCTGGAAGCACAAAACCAGCCCATGCCCCGCCCCTGCACAGTGCAGGGGGCTCTGCAGCCCCTTCCCCTCCCAGCTGGGCTCTGACCTCAGCACCCAGCAGTTAGC